CATTGAAAAAGTTGACGCTGTAGAAAAATGAATTTTGAAAATTACTTTAGGTGTTAACATTCATCAACCAACCGAAAAAGCATATCAGCATTCTTGTGTTTTTAGTATCAGACAATTATATTTAATACTGTTATTTATGTATGAATACAAACATACACTGCTGAAACCAGAACATAATCATGAGACAAGGTGTAAAACACTATCACTCCAGACCCGAAGAATCAATAAGCAAATCGGGCAAAGGTCATTTGAATATATAGGCCCACGAGTCTATAACCTTCTGCCTGATGAATGAAGACAACACACTAGTTACTATACACATAAAAAACGTATAAAACTGTTGATACAAGAACAATCGTATACTCGTATGATGGATGAAATAATAAATTAATGTATATTATTCAGATTTTCTCGACAAAAACTTCTAGAACTGTAGACATTTATAAGGTTTTAAATTTAGTTCATTTAAACTAATATATATATATATATATATATATATATATATATATATATATAACTTGAGACGTGGTCATTGTCGTCTAGACCAGTTAGGTGAAAAATTAAAGCTTCCGCCTTTTGTTGGGTACTTCGACAAAATTTAAGCAAGGAGGACTCTTTATACTTTTTTATTCTCTCTAGCTTTCAATGGTCTTTGCCATCATCATCAGGAGCTGCAATTACATTTATAACAGTAGCAACAATAGTGTAAAATGAATTTAAATTAACTTACAGTAGTATGTGAGGATGTTGCTAATTGTTGTTTACGTTCAGGATGAGGAAAACACCCAGTAACATGGTGAAAGCTGGATAAATGGTAAAATGGTCAAAATTATAATATATATATATAACTTGAAACGTGGTCATTGTCGTCTAAACTAGTTAGGTGAAAAATTAAAGCTTCCGCCTTTTGTTGGGTACTTCGACAAAATTTAAGCATACCATGTATCCAGCTCTCACCATGTTACTGGACGTTTCCCTCATCCTATACGAAAACAACAATTAGCAACATCCTCACATACTGCTCTCCAGAGGATGATGGCAAAGTCCATTAAAAGCTAGAAAGAATTAAAAAAAGTATAAAGAGTCCTCTTTGCTTAAATTTTGTCGAAGTACCCAACAAAAGGCGGAAGCTTTAATTTTTCACCCATATATATATATATATATATATATATATAATTTATACTGTAAGTTAATTTAAATTCATTTTACACTATTGTTGCTACTGTTATCAATGTAATCGCAGCTCCTGATGATGATGGCAAAGACCATTGAAAGCTAGAGAGAATAAAAAAAGTATAAAGAGTCCTCCTTGCTTAAATTTTCTCGAAGTACCCAACAAAAGGCGGAAGCTTTAATTTTTCACCTATATATATATATATATATGATAAATTTGTCTAATTGTGTGATATAATCATATATTCAATAATAATTAAGAATATATCAAAATACTAGCTGCCTTCTGCGGGTACTCTATGTTTGTTTGTTTTGTTCCAGACTAATTGTATTTTACAAATAAACATTATTATTATTATTATTAAAAGTGAACTTGGTATCAAATGTAACACCTAGGTCTTTATAACTGTTATTACTTTGTAACCTTACCTGATTAATACTGTAATCATCATAAATAATCATTGTTTCTCACAATATGTTACTAATTTTCATTTTGACACATTTAGTGTGAGCAGCTATTTGGAACACGATGGATTGACAACTACCAAATTATTTTGAAGAAAATGGCAGTCGCAGGAAGTTACGATTCATTAAAAATGAATAAACCATGAGCGTAATATACATGATAATATTTAGTCTCAAGCGATAAATCATTAATAAGTATTAAAAATAATAAAGGCCCCAAGTTAGATCCATGGGGAACTCTTGAAGTAGCATGTAGTTATTAAACTTGAAACCGAAAACAGTGTTCTGTCCAAAAGATATGACTGTAGGAGCAAGTGTAGATTTTCAGATAATCAAATCGAATGTTCTTAGGTATCAGTGGTGAAGACACAACAATGCACAAGAAGAACGTCAAAGTACAGTTAAGCAAAGATCGCACAATTGCAGGATTAGTTGCAAGGACAGGCGCCACTGTCAATATTAGAGACGCCTACAATGATCCGAGATTCTTCACAGATGTGGAAGAGAAGACTGGTTTTATAACACGATCTATACTCTGTATGCCTATCGTCAGTGTTGACAATATGCTAGGTACGATACTTTAATACATGTCATAGTGATACAGAATGTATCCACAAAACACTACCGCACTAAGCACAGAAAAGGTATCTGCTGCTAACCTGAAACTGTGAAAAAGGCGTACCAAGTTTGAACTTGAACTAATTCTCCTTTACACGAAACGATTATTTCGTCTTCACAGATCTCGTAATTATATTCTTGAAATATCATTTCAATAGCTCAATTCAGCAGATGCAGGCAAATATCTACAATTTTGCTTGTTCACATAGCTGTCTAAGTGAAAGGGGGCCTCGTCACTTGCCTCGATAACAAAAGCACGTTGCGCTCCCTTCCAACGTTCCATTGTGTCTATTTAACCCGCACACCGAACGCGTTCTCCACTTCCTCGCGTATACGGTTGCCGCGTAATTCAAATTTGAAATGTGAACTTTATCGCTGGACAACCTATTACATTTCTGAGACATAAAAGTTGTATTATCACTTGCAACTCATATACTTTAGTAAAACATGACATAACGTAGAATTTTACGAGACCTCTTGTTTGTTTTGGCTAAAAACATTACCACTGACTAAAGAAAATAATACTGATTTACTAGGCTGCAGAAACCAAATATACCTGAAATCTGTTTGACTTTATTTTTATTTTATTTACTCCAGGTGTGGTTCAAGTAGTAAACAAGATCAATGGAGTCTGTTTCACACCAGCCGACGAGAACCTATTCAAGACTTTCTCGGTATATTGTGCCTTGGCCCTTCATTACACGAGATTACACCAGAAGATGTTCAGGACGGATAAGATCAACGATATTAACGTTAATCTATTGAAGCTTCAGATAAAGCCATGTATACACGACGTAGAAAATTTCATTCAAAACCCAGAGGTCACTTTACCATACAATTTCGCAGAGTTCCGATGGTATGCACAAGCTATTGAAAGTTGGGTGTTATTTTTAACGTTATCCAGCCTGATCCATAGAAGGTTTTTGAAAATTAACACGCCGAAGACAGAGCAAAGCACCATCTATCACACCAGAATCGACCACTGTAGAAAGTGCAATACTCCTATCAGTTGGAACTCTTGGGGATCTCAGTTCAAAGTTAATAGCCCAGTCACCACGTGACCGCTAGATGGCTGACGATTCTGGCTGTAAAGTAAATCTGGGCTACTTGCCATTGAATAAAGCATCATGTTTACGTTCAACAATATTTTACTCACATACGATTAGCAGTCCATTTCAATCAATTGTAGATGTTGAAATGTACTGAGTCACTCTACTTCACGCCATGTTTGTAGGTACGTCAGTCCAGAGGAAGTTCCAGAAATGCCTCAACTCTTCTTACACATGGTGACTGAAATTGTCGGAACGCAAGACATATCTCTTCTGAGGACGATGGAGTTCATCTTGACTGTCAGAAAATGTTACAGGAACAACCCCTACCACAACTGGGACCATGCCTTCAATGTCGCACACTGCATGTACAATATCCTGAAACGGAACAAGGGTCTATTTACGGAGGTTAATTATTTATTCATTGTTATCATTCTTCCTTGTCAAACTGAACTTGAAGATTTATCTTTTTTAAGTTCCCTTCCTCCATATTAGGTTGAGATGAAAGCACTTTTGATCGCAGCCCTGTGTCACGACCTGGATCACGGCGGTTTTACGAACAACTTTCTGCAACTCACTGACAATACCTTAGCGCAGCTATACGACGAGTCTCCTCTAGAGCACCATCACTATCGCGTCGCCATGTTGATAATGAGTGTGTCTCCGATCTACGCCAACATTAGTAAACAGTTGTTTGACAAGATATCTGATGAGATAAAGGAAGCCATCTTGGCCACGGATCTCGCAGCATACTTCAAGTTTAGAGTGAAGACTTTGCAGGTAAACACTTCTTTCTTCTTCGTCGTTCCTCTTTCCTCTTTCTTCTTTCCTCTTTCTGCTTTCTGTTTTCTTCTTTATTCTTTCATATTTCTCCTTTCTTCTTTCTTCTTTCTTCTTCTTGTCTTCTTTCTGTCTTCGTCTTTCTTCTTCTTTCTTTTCTTCTTTTTTTTCTTCTTTCTTCTTCTTTCTTTC